GGCGGTTGTTATAAGAAAACTCAGCTAATGATAGATATGTGTCCCAACTTCCTCCGAAGTCCAACACACATGCCCTAAGCATCTCCTCAAGCGTCGGAATTGTCCGCTCGTTCTGACCATCCATCTGTGGGTGGTATGCGGTACTGAAATGTAGCCTCGTACCCAACTCCTCGTTGAATTTCTTCCAGAACCTGGAAGTGAAACACACATCTCAATTCGACACGATCGAGATCGGCACTCCATGTCACGTTACCACCTCTCTCACATACAACTCTGCTAGCCTCTCCGCAGAAGATCTCTCACTGATAGTAAGAAAATGAGCGCTCTTTGTCAACCGGTCAACGATCATCCAAATTGCATCGACACCCCTCGCATTCCTCGACAATTTGGTGATAAAATCCATGGAAATCTATTCCCACTTCCACTGGGGAACCTCAAGTGGCTGCAGCTTGTCGTGCGGTCGCTAGTGCTCGGCCTTAACCCTGCGATGGGTCGGACACCTTTCTACAAACCATGCCGTGTCACTCTTCATACAGGGCCACCAATAGTCTCTCTTTAGGTCCAAATACATCTTAGTGTCCCCGGGATGGATCGAAAACCTCGACCTGTGTGCCTCTTCCATCAAAATGGTACGTGCCCCGCTCTCAAATGGCACCCAAATCTGGCCCTAGAGGGTCATAAGCCCTCGACTATCGGTAATGAACTCAGATACTTGCCCGATCACCCGTTCTCTCTTGCGGTTCTCCGGTCTCTTGGCCTCTACCTGGGCCTCCTGAATCATGTCCAACACTGGAGTCATCACTGTCAACCTCATACAAATATCCCGTATCAGGGCACTCTCCACCCTACGACTCAAGGCATCGGCTACAACGTTAGCCTTGCCCGGGTGGTACAGGATCTCGCACTTATAATCCTTTACCACATCCAACCATCTCCTCTGGCGCATGTTCAGGTTGGGCTGATCCATCAGATACTTCAAGCTCTTGTGGTCCATGTATATGGTACACCGAACCCCATACAAATAGTGACGCCAGATCTTGAGGGCGAACACCACAACCCCCAAATCCAGATCGTGAGTAGGATACCTCGTCTCATGAGGCTTCAGCTGCCTCGATGTGTATGATATCACCTACCCTCTCTGCATCAACACCACACCCAATCCCGATATTGACGCGTCACAACATACCATAAAATCCTCCATCCCCTCCGGAAGGGCTAACACTAGGGCTTCACATAATCTCTGGCGAAGTGTCTTGAATGGGGCCTACTGCTTCGGGCCCCAACTGAAAGCCACGCCCTTCCGGGTCAACCTGGTGAGAGGAACAACAATCCTGGAGAAATCCTTGATAAATCTCTGATAATAACTAGCCAACCCCATAAAACTTCTGATCTCTAAAGGGGATCTCAGCACCTCCCAACTCATCACATCCTCAATCGTGGCCGGATCGACAAATATCCTATTTTGGTTGATGAGGTGTCTTAGGAACTGGACCTCTCGTAACCAGAAATCGCACTTGGAGAATTTGGCGTAAAGCATCTCCGATCTCAGAACTCCGAGGATCTCCCTCAAATGCTCCTCATGCTGCTCTCTGGACCTCGAATACACCAATATATCATCAATGAACAAGATCACCGAATGATTCAACATCGGCCGGCACACCCTGTTCATGAGATCCATGAACACCGCCGGTGCATTGGTAAGCCTAAAAGGCATCACCACGAACTCGTAATTCCCATAACGAGTCCTGAACGCTGTCTTCTGGATATCCTCATCACGCACTCTCATTTGATGATATCCAGACCTCAGATCAATCTTGGAGAACCAAGACGCTCCCTGCAACTGATCGAACAAATCATCGATCCTCGGTAAGGGGTAACGGTTCTTGACCATCAACTTGTTCAAGTCCCGGTAATCAATGCACATCCGATGTGAACCATCATTTTTCTTGACAAAAAGGATCGGTGCTGCCCACGGCGAGCTACTCGGCCAAATAAACCCCTTCCCCAGCAGCTCCTGCAGCTGTGAGGATAACTCCTGCATCTCTGGTGGTGCACTACGATAAGGCGCCTTGGCGATAGGCGCTGCCCCAGGAACCAAATCGATACGTAACTCCACCTGCCTCTCGGGAGGCACTCCTGGCAACTCGGGGAAAACGTTTGGGACCTCACGCATTATCGAGACCTCATTGACTGACCTCGGTCTCTCTACATCTACTCTCGTATCCACCACATAAGCCACATACCCACTATAGCCCTATTGTAGGCTTTGCCTCGCTCTAGCGACCGAACAAAATGCTAACCCAAAACAGGTACCCTCGCCATAAATCGTAAGAACTCCCTCACTAGGGTCTCGTATGGTCACCAGCTGTCGCTCGCAGTCGATAACCGCTCCAAACCTGCTCAACCAGTCCGTGCCCACGATGACATAGACATCTCTTATCGCAATCGGGACCAAATCAATCAGAAAATCAACACCGAAGATCTTGAGTATACATCCTCGAATCACATCAGTGGCATACACCGCTCTCTCATCCGGTATGGAAACTCGCAAAGGTCGACTCAACACCTCTCGATAGATACTGATGTGCTGACTAAAGGCTAACGACACAAAAGACCGATTCGCACCCGAGTCAAATAACACCAAAGCAGGTACAAAACTCACAAGAAATGTACCTACATATATCATAATATAAGCATAATACCACAAACTCAAATAAATAGATGAAAGAATATATACTAGCCACAACATCGGGAGTTGCGCAGACCTCCTCCGCTGTCAACTAGAAGGCTCTCCCACGAGCCTATGGCGCCTCGGCCTTCACTGGCCGACTCTCTATAGCTCGAACAACAGGGGTAGATGCTTGTGATGCTCCCTGGGCTGACCCCCGCAATTGCGGACACCCGGCCTTCCGGTGTTCGGTCTAGTTGCAATGAAAACAGACTGCAAACCCCTTGGTGAAATCCTTGGTCATGTGCCCCTCCATGCCACATTTGTAGCAAGACCCTGCTCTACAAACCCTCTCATGACTCTTGCCGCACATGCCATAAGTGCGGCCCTTCTGGTTCCCTGATCTCGAATCGATGGCCTTGGCCCGCTTGGCTGCCGGCTGGGACTGTGCCGATCGCCGATCCCTCCCCTGAGACTCCGCCTCCTCCCTGGCCTAAGTCTCGAGCTCAATCTCCCTCTTCTGGGAATTTTCGTGAAGCTCGACAAATGTTCGGTACGATGAGTTCGCCACGAACTCGAGGATGTCTCTCCTCAAAATTCTCAAATACTGACTCATGCGTGCCTGGTCGGAAGACACGTGCTCAGGGTAGAACATTGCCCTCTCATGGAACATCCTGGTGATCACAGTAACAGACTTGGTACCCTGCTTGAGGGTCAAGAACTCCTGGGCCAAACGTTCCCTTTCCACCGTTGGAACGTACTCATCACGAAACATAGCAGTGAACCTCTCCCAGGTCACCACGACAAGCTCTACAAAAGAATTGTGCGCAGTCACAAACTTCCACTAGTCCTTCGCTCCCAAGAGAAGTTGGTTCAACGCGAACCGAACTCTCATATGCTCCAGACAAGAACACGTATAGAATCATCCCTCAATATCATAAATCCATCTCATCGCAGCGATCGGATCCTGCCTCCCGTCAAACTATGATGGCTTCATGTTGCTGAACACTCGGTACAACAACGAGTCACCCCCTGTGGCCTCGCAGCAGCGACGGTTGCAGTGGCTGCAACAATAGCAGCATCAGAAAGAGCAGCATAATGCTTGTCAAAATTCTCGATCAGAGTTGTCTTGATAGACCCAAACATCTCCGGTATCTCGGCTCGGATGGCAGCAGCCACCTCCTCGTGAATCACCCTGCGGATCTCCTCATCACTAACACCACTGCTCTCAGGTGTGTGGCGTGTCCCAACCATGATGTCTCTGCAATACAACATAAAATATCAGAGACTCGCTCGAGCATACTCGCACTTGATAACTCAACCCTACTCGTTCCCTAGTACCCCAAGGATTACTTGAGTTGTGCACTGCTCTGGTGTCTTCAGTAGTACCGGCCAATACTACCGTCCACACCGTATAAGTATTCACCCTAAGTACGCCTAGCGTAAGATGGGGTACACCCAGCTTGGAGGGGATAAGTGGTCGCAGGTGTTGGAGACGTACGCCCAGCGTACGAGAAGTACGCCCCTAAACCCTAATTTTTAGGGTTGGCTCACTATTTAAAGCACCTTAAGTCCGAGGGGGAGCGCCTCCCTTTCATTCTCAGAGCCTTAAACCCTAAATTCGAGTGGTAGCTTCATCCAAGAGTGTTGTGAGCTTTGTGGGTGCATTTTGGGTGGTTTTTGGTGCATTTCAAAAAGATGGAACTTGTTACAAAGATGGTAATCAAGGAGGAGCGTGTGGATCTGGCATTTGGGTCTCATTCTCAGCTTGATGAAGGTATAAAGCTTTGATATTGATCATTCATCTCTTAGATCTACCTTTGGGAGTTCTAGTTCATTTTGGTCCCAAGGATGGAGCTTTATGGGTGAAATCTGATCCTTAAGCTTAGAGTTGCCACTCTTTGTGTTAAATGAGTCCCTAAGGCAGAAAGTTGCCATCTTGGAGGTCTTAATGGGTTCATGCATGAGTTAAGACCATTTCCATGGAAGTAGATTATCATTTTTGGAGATTGAGCTTATGTGGGTCATGCAAAGCCATCAAGTAAGCAACTTTAGGCTTTAAGATGTTGAAGAGGACTTGGATATGCAATTGTAGCTTCTGGAGTAGAGTATTAAGAACTTAATGGAAAGTGGCTTAACAGAGGAGTACAATGGGCATACATGCAGGTACGCGCAACGTACACTCCATTCAGCTAGTACACTTAGCGTACAGAAGAGTACGCCCCGGTTTGGGATTGATATTTATTTGTGGAGGCCCATTATGGTTTTGAGCATAATTTGGTATTGGACCATTAAAGGACTTA